TTTCAAATTATACTTCGATATTTTATTTTGCTGTATTCAATGATGAAAAAACAAATTACACACAATTTCTTTTCACAAGCTTTGTAATTTATGATAATTGTAATTGAAGGGCCTGATTTATATCAGATTCATGTAAGCAAATCTAATTTGGCCACAGTTTTTCTTCAACTAATGAAGAAGCAGTGTGCATCATATCAAACTAAATTAAACATGCCATGAATACAATTAATTGTAGAGCAAGATCAGAATTATTGGCTACTGTCAGCCAAGTCCACTCAATCCTCATAAGAGGGAAATTCCAAAAATATATTATCTGGTTGCCCCGATGGACAAATTCTGTAAAACTAAAAGGGTTCTTTGTAAGATAATTGGAAAAGTGGAGGAAGCAAAAAGAATAAATGTTCCCAATTGGTGGGGAAATGGTGACATGAATGTGTAAGTGTGCGAGATAAAAAACAGGAGCCTAGCAACAGACAAAAGCTATCATACAACTCCAGCCTGTGACTGAAATATCCCCAAAATGGAATTTCTGGTTGATATGCCATGAAGTAGATGGTTGTGCTGCTATGAATTAATGAGACAGATTCCAGCTTCTCCCTCTTAATGTCCCATACAACAGAGATATGCCTGTATGGGAAGCAGATGGCCAGTGAAAAACACAATAGAGCAGTCAGAAACCAGACAGCTCTGACTTCATTTCGAGAAAATCTCGATCAGCATGAACCCCAAAGCTCGCAGAGGTTATGCCTTACAAAGGTTCTTAGAAAAGACGATAGCAAAGGGTTAGACCAGAGGTAACGCAACCATTCATACTAGGAATTTTGCACAAAAGCACAAAAACACCAAGATATCAATGTTGGCAGAAGAAGAAGTGGAAAAAGCAGAAGAAATGTCAAAAACTCCACCCCCTCCAAACACTTTGATCGTCGCCGAATATGGAGCGCCAACATTCCCAACTGATCTTTGTCCGAGCAAAACATGAAACTAATTGTGCTCTGACCTCCCACAGACGTGATTGTAGGGCACAAGAGCAGGCCTTTGAGAGAGGCTTAACATCTTTTGAGAGAAATAAAGTCACTGCCATTTGCAGCCTATGAACAGCACAGTACTCTAACCTGGGCCATGAAGATGTACGACAGGACAAAAGCATAAAAACATCACCCAAAATAGACAGTAAATATATCTGAGTAAACATAGAAATGTATTTTATGTTTATTCATGGTATTAATGTGCTAATTAAAGCAATGCTAGGAGACGACCACTCCAAAATGTTATAAAGTGAAGTTTCGTTTTCCCCTCCTAGTCAGAGTTTGCAACACCAGCAGTGTATTGTTACGCTTACAGCTACCACACACCTGGGACCTATTATGATCCATCCCAGCCTAGGTAGCTGTGAGTTTGCTCCCTTAGGCCAAACCTCAAGAGGGCGCCTGCTTCCTTCTATGGGACTGGGCTTGCTATAAGAAGTTGGTGTATTGATGTGTTTCAGCTGCTCTTGGTCTGCCCCCACCAGCTCAGACCAATTTGCTCATGAATTACTGTTGCCCTGGAAAACAACGTCTAGGGATATAACTGGGACACAACTAGCTCAACAATTTCATTTTAGGAAACAATATGTGAGGAATTTGGGTCGTCTGTGTTTCTTTGTTTGAAAAGCTGGATTTTGCTTCAACTGGGCGCCATCTGTCTAAGAAATGGAGAGGGAAATGGACTGGAAAGGGAAAAGAGCACCGTTGATTACAATACCTTGCGTGAAGCATGAATGTCATAGAAGGGCTTTTGTCGGACACTGTAGGGCTCCTTGGTCTTGTCAATCTGTCCAGTCTTCATCTTTTCGTTCCTGGGAGAAATTATTTCCTTTTCTATGCATAACAGCCGGATATTGAAATCACACTGGCCAACAGGCTGTCCCTGAAACACAAAACAAAATCAGTTATTCAACTCTACCCTCTTGCAAACATTCACAGATTATTCTATGCTTGGCTATTCACAAACAAGAACAATTAACATCTATACGAATGCGACAAATACGGCAATATTTATTTGGACTTTGATTTAACCTTGCAGTTGTTCCGAGGCTAGATTAGCACATACATTTTAAAATGCATTTCTTTTGTGAAAACATATTACAGATATGTGAAGATTACTGAACTGCCAGTTTTGTCACCATGGCAACACTGGTAATTTTACTTTTCGTGAGGTTGAGGACTAGGACTTTTGTACATCTGAACAAGGCAGGCATTTTCAAAAGGGGAACAAAAAGAACTTTACAATTGGTTTGACAGTAGCATAAAGTACACTTTGAGGTGCTTCTTGAAATCCTTTCTCAGAGTGAACAGACTGATGAAAATAGGACGAGGGACTTTTTTTCATGATGACCCAGTCAACTGCAAACAAACTGCTAGGTATATTCAATCAGACATTAGACCACAAAACAATACTCCATAAATGTGTAAATGCAATTACATATCTCGCCAATATTTGACCATTATTGAGTGTTTAAATTCATCGGCATAATGATGGAGTTGCTCCCGTCCTTTGCAGCTATAACAGGTTCCGCTCTTCTGGGAAGGCTTTCTACAAGAGTTTGAAATGTGTCTGTGGGAATTTTTGCCCATTCATCCAGAAGAGTGTATGTATGGTCAGACCACTGATCCCAAAAGTGTTTGATGGAGTTTAAGTCAGGAGTCTGTGTGTGCCAGTAAACACCAAAACTCATGCAACCATGAGAAAATTACATTCCCAAATGGTTCCCAGAAAATTTCTTGGTAAGCTGAAGCATTAAAATTCCCCTCGACCTACCACAGAGAAATAACCCCACAGCAATACCCCTCCTCCACCAAACTTAACTTCGTTGGAACAATGTAGTGAGGCAGGTAATGTTCTTTTTGACGTCTCAGTCTGCCACATAGAAAAGCGTGAGTTATCACTCCACAGAATATCTTTCCACTGTTCCAGACTTCAGTGGCGGTGTGCTTTACACCACTCCATCCAACCCTTGGCATTATGCATGCGTGCCATAGAAATCCAAACCGTGAATTCCCCTGAGTAAGCAGAATGTTGGGGACTTTGACGCACTATGTGCGCCTCAGCGACCCCGCTCTATAACTTTACATGGTCTAGCACTTTGCGGTTGAAGTTCTGTGATTCCTAAACGTTTGCACTTTGCATTAATACCACTTACAGTTGATTGTGGAATATCTAGGAGAGATGAAATTTCACATACTGGCTTGATACAAAGCTTATTAGAACAACTCAGTCACTCACAAATGTTTATAAAGGCAGGCTGCATGGCTAGGTGCTTGATTTTATACAGCTGTGGTAATGGGCAAGAAATCACCTAATTTCAATCATTAAGAGGTGTGGCCCAATACTTTTATATATGGTAAACCTGTGAAAGGGTTACTTTAACATCAGCTGAACTCGTCCCAAAAAAAGTGCACTGCACAGCTAAATCAGCTTTTCTTTGTCACCATGACAACAGTTTCCCCACAATGTTGGTCAATCACTGTTATTCCACACAGACAAGCATTTCAACCTGAGCCACTACTTTCGTTTACACAGACGGGGGCCACAAAGGTTCCGCCACAACCATCTGCTGGTCCACTGTGACTTTGACAGGAAAAAGTACAGCAAAGCTTGTTCCTGTCCCGGGTTATAAATAATAAAGCTCAGGTGGAAAATGTAACAAGTGTTAAATGGTGCCAAGGAGTTTGCGATGAAAACAGCCTGATAAGCCTCGAACATTTGACAGTTACCGCCACATATTTCTGCTGCTCGGCCGACAAAGCAATTAAAAACAACGAGGCACAGACTTCACTTTTATCAAAACTTCTGACGTTAGTGATGAAAATCTGCCAGATGATCATGAACCAAATACTTGGCAACAATTTGACATTTAATTGAAAAAAATGGAGCTCAAACTCCAACTGAGCTGCAATTTATTTGGTGCCAAAACATATCATAAATCACAGAAAGCTTTTTTTTTTTTTTTAAATTACCCGGCTGTGATAAGCACAAAAATACTTTTTAATTTCTAACCCAAACACCTCCTTGACTGTTAAAATTGATATTTATTATAAAAGAACAGACAATCCATTTTCAAACCACTTTATGATTTGCCAGAAAACTACATACTTTGGCAAGATAGACTTGTTTTTAACCGAGCAGTTACACAACAGTATTCTCTATGCTAATCACTGGCTCCGGTACAGCCACTAAATAAACAGAATAATGGAATTGAATTTAAAAATGTGTTTGGCACCGATAACAGCAGCATGTTGTTCCAAACATCATTCTATCTGCTTATTGAAAATACAATAATCTTTCCTTTGTAGGGCTTAAATAAACAATCTTAAAGCCCATGATAGTAATTATTAATGTACTGTAGATGATCTTTACTACATTAAAAGCATTTATGTTTTGTTAATTAGATAATTATTTTTGTCAAATGATGATTGCCAACAAGTTTAACACATTTTTCTAAAATGATGGCAATCTAAGACAAGGAAAAAAATGGGTAAAAGAAACGTTCCAACAGCCATTTTTTCTACTGAAACTGGCAAAAGTTTTTGAACATGAATGAAAAATAAATAAATAAATATACAAATCAATGAACTGACTGTTACAGGTCTACTGTACAGCTTAATGAAAAGCCAGTTTTTAAGCAGCAATTATTTGAGTATTGGACCATTTCATGAGGTTTTAGCTTCTTAGACAAAGAACATCGATTTATCAAAACAATTCATCGAAACATTAGCAATTTTTACAGCTCTTACACCAGCAGGATGGATCAATATTCTCTCATGTGTATCGAGAGGCCCGAAGGCTTAGGACCTAAGCTTTTGTATTCTACTCGAAGTGTTTGGTAAAGGCCACTTCTCTTCTCAACAGCTTTCTAAGGAATTATTGGAAATGGCAGGGGAAAAGATTTCTGAATAAAAGGACGAGACAGTGAATGACTTGGAATTAGCTATGATTAGACGCATTACTAGAGTGTGCTATTTTGTGAGTCACACGGATTTTCAGCAAAACAGAAAAGAAGATCAGAGCCCTCTTGAAAAGTATACCTTTTCAAACAGGCACTTTGGAAAGACTTCTGTATTATGTACGCTGCATAGATTACATACAGCTACAAGAGAGACAAAATTGATATGGCAAAATATCTTATTGGCTTCCATGGGTGACAGATTGGTAGTAAAAATGAGTGTGTTTAATACACATGCAGCAGCACTAAATGACTTTCCTTAGCACCCTGACTCATGGTGGTGCACAGAAAAGGAAAGGGAGTAAAGTGAATGAAGGCAACCAAGTTGAGAAGAAGAAAAAACTCACAGGGTGGAAATTAGGAGAAAACAGAGGAGAGCATTTCAGAGAGCTAATTAACTGAACGGGCATATTATTAATATTTAATACAAATTTTAATACACACACACACACACACACACACACACACACAC